TGGCTGATCTGATCTGCAGCGTCTGCCCCAGTGCCTCCAGGTTCACGCACTTCTGCATCAAAGACACCACCGCCTCTCGCTCGTGCCCCAGCTGGGAGCGCGGGGGATTGGGGGAGGGGGAAGAGGGAGGGGAGGGGGGGATGGGGGAATGGGAGGATACGGGGAAAGGGGAAGGGGCTGATCTGATCTGCTGCGTCTGCCCCAGTGCCTCCAGGTTCACACACTTCTGCATCAGCGACACCACTGCTTCGCGCTCGTGGCCAAGCTGGGGGGGAGAGGTGGTTGGAGGGGATGGGGAAACGGATAGCTGATTCAATCTACAGTGCCTGCACCGCCCCAGTGCCTCCAGGTTCACGCACTTGTGCATCAAAGACACCACCGCCTCTCGCTCGTGCCCCAGCTGCAGGCATGGAAGGCAAGAGGATACGGTAACGAAAAGAAAAGGGAGTTGATTTGATTTGCAGCGCCTGGCATAGCCCAGCCCGAGCCCAGCCCGGCCCAGCTCAGCACAGCACCGCACTGCACCGCGGCGTACCTCGCACTTGACCATCCAGAGCTTGGGATCGCGCACGGACGGCAGCAGCGCCTGCTGCTCGACCTCCGTGGCCTCCCCCTCGCCCAGCTCGGGCACCTCGTTGCGCGCATACCGCTCCTCCAGGAACCGCTGGTAGTCCTCCTCGTTCACCTCCTCCTCCTCCTCGTTGCGCCGCAGCAGCGTGCGGTGGTGCGCGGATGGCCGCTCGTTGCCCAGCTCCTCCCCCAGATCCGCGTCCCGGTCGATGAAACCTAAGGGGGGATGGCAAGGATGTACAAAAAATAAGGGAGGGGCATGGATTGGTGCGGTGGTGCGGTCGGTTCCAGCTCCGCGCTCAATTCCGCGTCCCGGTCGATGAAGCGTAGGTGGAGGGAGAAGGGATGCCAAGACATATTCACGACACCAATTCATGTCTGCTCCGCTTGCCAGTCTATCTTGATACGCGATTGTCTTTCGATCCGAGTCAAAAGGATGTGAAGATGAGAACAGTGCATATATTCGACCCATTTGTCGACTTTTACCCTAAGAACGCGAAGCGACGTCGACGAAGCATCTACGCGCAACCCTAATTTGTCCATTCTCTGCCTGCGAGAAGGAGGCGTAGCCGATTCGGCCACCGATTAGCGGAACATAATGTCTTAACCCTCCGCACGAAGCACTCGACCCACCGTCCTCCCTTTCTTCCTCCACCTCCTCCTCGTGATCACCCGCCACTGCTGCTTCCTCCTGAATGGACATTTACCGAACCCACCAACCGTCAAACCCTTCTTCTGCCTCCAAAATCGAAACCCTAATCAATGTTCTAGTAAAATCAACGTACCGTCCTCCTCTTCCTCCTCCTCCTCCTCGTCATCACTCGCCACTGCCGCTTACTCCTCAATGAACATCGACCGGTCCGTCGTCGATCCCTTCTTCTTCCTTAAAGAATCGAGAATCGAAACCCTAGACAGTGCTTTACGGGCCTAACCAATCTCACGTACCGTCCTCCTCTTCCTCTTCCTCCTCCTCGTCATCACTCGCCACCGCCGCTTCCTCTTCAATGAACATCGACCGGCCGGTCGTCGACCCCTTCTTCTTCCGCGGCGCTTCGTCCTCCTCGTCCTCGTCATCGTCCTCCTCCGCCGCGTCGTCGATAAACTGCGATCCGCGCCCTCGCTTCTTCCCGCGTTCCTCCTCGTAATCCTCCTCTTCCTCCTCCTCCTCGTATTCCTCGTCATCCTCCTCTACCTCGTCATCGTAATCGTCGCCACGCGCCATTTCGCTTCTTTGAGGAAACTTGTCGAGAATGCGAGGATAAGAATCTGCAGATGAACTGGCCTACGCAATTGGCAGTTAGGGCTTCAAGCTTCTAAGGAATTAAGAAATTACAAAGTTGATAAGAAATCGCTATACTGAGATTGGCGGAAGGTCTACACCTGACAGCGGCCAGCAAAACCGAAAGGAGAACGCTGGAAACTATACCTAAAAACGAGCAGGGCTTCGCCTACGAGAAGGAAATGATGGCGAATGAAACGAAGTGTCGAGGACGAGGGTTGAGAGAGACGAGAACGGCTGGTGTAAGACTGTAGGTTGTGGCGAGGTGACTTGTCAATCTCAACTCCTGTCTGAACGGTGTTGCGGAAAATGAATGACGAATGAAGACGAGCGAGGTGGTGGATGGAGACCCCTTTTATAATCTTCTGGCGGGAAAAAGGAGGAATCGAGGGTGTGGCTGTCAGGGGTAAGAGGAAAGGGACGCGATTGTAGCAACGTTTGACTGTACACAAATAAAACCAGACAGAAAAGGCAGACGTAGCATTTTAAGCACAACAATTGTGCTTTACTATCTAGTCATACTCCTACAAAAAAATTCAGGAGAGCACAATTTACATATAGCTCATTGAGTGGAGATCTAACCAATCAGTAATCTAAAATTCTCCACAATCCAGCCATCTTAAATCTTGCTAACTTATTCTCCTTTCCTGACATCCAATTATTGTGGATCGTCACGACATCGTCTCGACTAGGGAGCACCCTTATTCTTCCCGGAGGCATGGAAGAAGACTCAGGGAAATAGAGCCACCCCGGAGGAAAAAGAGTTTGTGGGAGAACTCCCACTAACGGAGCAGGGCTGATATTTAATAACTCATGAATCGCCATGCCGAGATAAAGCTGGTCATTCTCCCGCCCTGTGACTTTAGGCGCCCGGTATATCTTCAGTATAAGCATCTCCAGTAAAAGCCTTCCTCCCGGCGTATTACGGAAGAGAACAAAGCCGCCGCAGAGCTTGGCATGGTCAAGCTGGGCGGGTCGAGGATCCATGAGGTATGTGGAAGCTGCGTAGAAATTGTACGTATCCGGAAACTCCCGCACCCCCACCACATCATACTCTATAGGAGCTGCTTCGGAACTGGGCAAAGCGTGCAGATCTGAGTCGGAAACAGCATACCGTTTTCTCTTGTTGTTGTACACTCCCAGAGTGCTGGTTAAGGCGAGGCGAGAAGCCATGGATCTCCTTAAAAGCTCCGAGTGGCTTGGCCTTGCAAAGAGGTAAGGAAACGGATCCTTGACCCAGATGAAATCCGAGTCGCAGATTAGGACATTAAAGCCCATGTTAAGGAGTGTGCGGATGTAGGCCACTCTCCGGTACATGAGCTTCTTAAAGCCCAGCGTGAGAAAAGAAAACGCCTCTTTGCTGCTGCTGCCACTGCTGCTGCTGCTGATGCCATTCCCACCTCCATCACCCACACCATTGCTGCCAGTGCCACTGCTCCCTGCACTGCCACCACTGGCACTATCACTCTCCTCCACCAGCCCTGCTGCCTTGAGCTCCTCCTCTCCTGCCTGCTCTATCTCCTGCACGTGCCATCTCACCACCTGATGCCCCAACGGTTGGGAGGATAAGGGTTGAACATGCCACTCACACCTCCTGTCACGCTGGTCATGTCGATGATCAAACAACAAGCAAATTCAGTTGCAAGGGGTCTCCAGAGTGGCGAGCTCGTCCTGTTTTTTCAGAGTTATACTTCACCTTTCGCGATTGGAGAGATCTGATGCAGGTTCCTCAGTAGTGCTAAGGGATCGGAAGCGCGTCCCGCAATTGTCTGTGTGTTCCGTCATGACACTGTCATTTGACAAGAGTCTACTTGCCTGACGATCGATTGTTTTGTGGTGTCAAAATCAGTGGTCTTATCTGAATTTCACCCAACCCGTGCCATTTCATTTGTCAGAGCCGTGAAAGTCTCAGAGGCGACGGGGTGATAGCCTCGTTCATACTACCTAAGTATGAGCGGCTCGTGATCTACACAGTTAGGCGTGGTATAGTAGGCTTAGAGTCACCTCGACTGCGGCAGTTCAGATTCTCGAAATGCGTCACTTGAAGCGGACCTTTCACTTCTTGAGCTGGGGGGCTTCGACGAGTCTGAACCAATGCGACTCGCCTTTTCCCCATGTTCGGGCCTGAACCGTCATTGCTAAGGAGGCACGTTTTCAAAAAGGTAGGCCGTGTAAACTTGAAACAGCGACATGTCTTAGCTTGACTACGATGAGATGCTCTCCTCATGCTAATGGATGGCTTCGTCAAATGCGCACAGTGTGATGTTTGCGGTGATGGTGAGAAACCAGCTTTTCACAAACCGGGCTTGTGAATCGTGATGTGATACCGTTTCTGCTTTAGACGAAATATCAGGTATGTATAAGAGAACATGAATGGAGGATGGACACCAGTATGGTCGTTGCAGATGCAGGAGCACAAAAACGCAAACGGAAGAGATGTTCAATGATGAGGTTGAGCAATCTTACTGCCAACGTTTCCCCTCATTTTCACAGGTTTCTTCAAGGGTAAATGAATGGATATTTTATTTCGGCGATAAGGCTGAAACCTGATTAACAATGTAATACGAACACATGCTCCTTCCCACCAGCAAAACGCTCTGCACTGCACTGGGTGTGAAGGGTGAATGGGTAGTTTCTCATTTCATATTTGAAATGCAAGACCGTCCTTTCCATGTTTCCTCAACATTAGCGAAAGGCTTTGCACTCTGATTTTAAGTGGGTAAAAGTCATCGCGGTAGCTAACAGGACGATGGGGCTGGGTTGCACATGGCCGAGGTCGCCGCATTTGGTCTGCCGGCGCTGGCGAAGCGCACTGATGCCGTACTCCCGACAAGGTGCCTCGTTGACGCGTAATCATTGGGAATATACGAGTGTGCCAAGGAGAAAAAAGGAAATTCATGTACAAAAGAATATGCTCCAGAAAATCTAGGTAATTGTTATTTGGTTTCATCTCATAACCTGGTACTGCATTCCTCTGTATTGATGAAATAAATGAAGAACCATTAAACCACGAACAGAAATGAGAGCTGATCCACACAGCTCGCACAAGCACAAAAAAAAGAAAAAGCATGTCACACGTCCTGTAGCTGTCCCTACCAGTGTTCCACACAGCAAAGAATTCCTGTTACCATAACTGCACTTGACTCCGCAATCACCCCTTGATCTTGCCAGCTTTAGCAGCAGCTGCTGCTGCTGCCGCCGCAGGTGCAGAGCTAGGTGCTGCTTTTGGTGCAGCATCAGGCACAGTTTCAGGAGCAGCAGCAGCAGCAGCAGCAGCAGCAGCAGCAGCAGCAGCAGCAGCAGCAGCAGCAGCAGCAGCAGGAGCAGAAGCAGCAGCAGCAGCAGCAGCAGCAGCAGCAGCAGCGGCCTCAGGTTGTCTCCGCCACTGCATGCTACCTCTGGCAGAGGGCCGGCGGGCAGCTTGTGCTTTCACACCCACACCTGGGGCCTTAACAGGCACGAAACGTGCAGAGGGGGAGGCGAGGGCTGTGAAGCTGGTGACCGGAGCAGGGGTGGGGAGCTTGGTGGGGGTGGTGCCCGGAGCAGGGGAGGGGAGCTTGGTGGGCGTGAGGAGCGGGCGAGCGGGGTGGGTGGGAGTACTGATGGGTGGTGTGGGCGCTGCTGCAGAGGGGAGTGCCTCCACTGCCGCGTGTGGCTTGTGGATTATCTGCGGGTGAGGGGGAGGGGGTGGGGGGAGAATGGCGGGAGAAGGGAGGAAGAGGGTGTGAGTACTGGGTTAGAGAGTGGGAGTGATGGGTGGAGGTGTGGGTGTGCTGCTGCGGAGGGGAGTGCCTCCACCGCTGCGTAGGGTTGTTGTGGAATATCTGCGGGTAAGGGGCGGAGATGGGGAGATGGCGTGGGTGAGAAATGAGGAAGGGGATGTGAGGACTGGGAGTGGGAGTGTCCTTTTTAAAATCGACTTAAGAAGGGGATGTGAGAACCAGGACTGGGACGGGGAGCGGGAGTGTTGGGTGCTGGTGTGGGTGCTGCTGCAGAGGAAGTGCCTCCACTGCCACGTGTGGTGTGGGTGGGCTTATGGATGGTGTGCGGGTAAGAGGTGGGGACGCAGAGACGGAGGAGGAAGGGAGGATGGAGATGTGAGGCATCCTGATGGTACTCATGGCTGGTACAGTGGCAGAGGGCAATGCCTCGTATCGTACACACAGAGAGGGATTTACCTCAGTGACTGAAAAAATGACCACACGGCCACGCAAGCCTTGAGGAGAATCTGCGTAGATATGTGGAGGGGCGAGGTGACGAGGACGCAGAGAGAGCAGAGAATGGAAAACAGAAGAGATGATGGAATAGGGGGGCAAAAGGTGGGTGTACCTTGAGCGGGCGTGACATAAATGAAGCGTCGTTGAGTGCAAGGGCCTTGTCAACCGCTTCCTTAGTGGCAAACTCGATATAAGCACATCTGCAGGCAGATGGAGAGGAGTGGGGAAGAGGCATGTCATAATTGTGTAAATTTGTGTAATTTGTGTAAACCCTACTGAATCCAAAGCAGGTTGATTGATGTTGACCATAACAGTGTTAAGTGTTAAACAAGTAGCTATTAAAGCGTGCGATACGATAGCACAAAGTGCACTAAGTGTATGAAAGGGTTTAAGAGCAAGCACGAGGTGAGAAGGAAGTGCAGGAAAATGGTAAGGACGTAGCAGGTGGGAATCACGACGACATTTGAGGCGCCTCAAGAAAGAAAGCAGCAATGAGAGGGGAATTTATGCGACAAAAAAGCACCAGGCAGCAATGATTACCCTTTTGGGCGGCCGGTGAGAGGGTGAGTGAGCATGGTGACTCGACGAATCTCCCCACACGCTGCAAAGTGGAGCGTGAGTGCCGCCACCGTTGCTGCGAAATGCACCTGCAGGGAGGAATGGCAGGGCGGAGGGGTGAGGGCAGAGGGGCAGGGGTGACGGTGCATGGGTGAGGATGGACGGGAGTGGAGCGTGAGTGCCGCCACCGTTGCTGCAAAATGCACCTGCAGGGAGGAATGGGAATGGTGGAGAGCAGAGGGTGGAGCGTAGAGGCCAGTCCAGAAAAGGAGTCTGTGATGAGGAAAGAAAACGCTGGGGTCTAATTTTGAGGTGCCTAAAAATGGCAGAGGGCAGAGGGCAGACGGGAAAAGGGGTGTGTGATGAGGGAAGGGAATGCTGGGGCCAACAATGCCGCTGTGCTTCCCTCAACAGCAACACTTCTTCTTGAAGACACCCGTCATCCAGGCTGTTTCAGGTTGACATTTCGTACGGCTTAAAACGTGCAATTGAGTGGGATAGCACAGCAGAGAGGAATAAGAAGCTCTTAGAGCAGTTTATCGGTCGAGAGGGAGTTAAAGAGCACGGAGTGGGATAGCATGGCAGAGTAGAGAGGGGAGCTCACATTTGAAACGCGCACGGAGCGATCGTCGGCAACCCCTGAGGAAGGAGCCTTGGTGGTGGGTGGGTGCGATTGAGTGCGGTGGAGTGTGGAGCTTCGGAGTGCAGTGTGGTGGAGTGCGTTGCAGAGGAGGAGAAGGGGGCTCACGTTAGAGACGAGCACAGAGCGATCGTCAGCGTCCCCCGAGGAGAGAGTCTTGGTGGGTGGATGGGTGTGGTGTAGTGCGGTGGAGTGTGGTACTTCGGAGTGCAGTGTGGTGGACTGCGGTGCACCGGAGCAAGGGAAGGGGGCTCACATTTGAAACGAGCACAGAGCGATCGTCAGTGTCCCCTGTGGAGGGAGACTTGCGCACGAGGGAGAAAGGCGTGGGTGCGTGGGCGTGCAGTGCGGTGGCGTGCGGTGAGGTTGACAACGTGCCGTTGGGGTGAGCTGCTTCTGTGGATAATACACAGAACGAATGGGGGAGAGAAGGGAAGGGGGAGGAGAGGAAAGGGGGAGGGTTGGGAGGAAAGGAAGAGGAGGAAGAAGGATACATGTGAGATAATAGACATATGTTAAGGGTGTGGGGTGACAGAGAAAAAAAGGAATCTGGAGGGAGGGATAGTGGGAAAGTAGGGAGGAGAGTGGAATGAGAATGCGGGCGGGATACAGACAAGCAGGGCTATGGAATCATGTGGTAACAGAGAAAACGGGAATTTGCGGGACGAGCGAAGCAACCACAGCGGAGGCAGCATGGGCAAATCATGTACCTGTTGGTGGAGCATCAGCATTACTCGTTGCTGAACTAGCTTTAGCAGCAACAGCCTTCTCCTGCAGCGCCTTCATCCTTCTCATCTCCTCCTGCATTTTTTGCAGCCTCTGCCGCATGGCCTCCACACTCTCCTGCCACACATGAGAATGGGTGTGGGTGGGTCAGGGGCGGGGGGGAGGAAGGGGGGGGAGTCTTTAGAGCTAGACAGTCATCTCCACCTGCACCTGCTGCAGGCCCTGCCTCATCGCCTCCACGCTCCTCCTGCCACACAGTAGAACGCGTGCGGGTCGAGAAGTTGTTGAAATGCGCGATAAGGGTTCTTATGTTCAACCTGACTCAAGGATCGTCGTCAGTCACAGCTTGCATGAGCCACAAGCTGCTCAGGATACGCACCTGCTTCTGAGCCACTGGGCTGACTTTACTCTCCTTCTCCTTCTCCTCACCCTTCACCTCCTTCTCCTTCTCTTCCCTCTTCGCCACCCAAGTCATACTTCCCCTCCCCCGCCCCATGCTGCCTTGTCCCCCCCTCCCCTGCCCGGCCCCCATGCTAGCTGCAGGCCAAGAGCGCCGCACTCCCCCCTCCTCCTGCCCCCTCCCCAATCCACCTGCCCCCTGTGGAGCAACCACTGACCGATTTGTACCCTGCTGCAGCTGCTTTTGATTCTCTAGCGCCTGCTGCCCCTCTGTGTCGTCCTGCTGCTGCTGGGGCAGGACGACAGCCGGCAGTGGCACCCGGAGCCACTGCCGCTGCTGCAGCTGCGGCCTGTGCTGCTGCTGCTGTGCCTGCTGCTCATTCTGCTGCACCTGCACCTGCAGCTGCTGCTGCTGCTGCTGCTGCTGAGCCTGCTGCAACAGCTGGGAGTTCTGCAGAGCAGGAACTATCACCAGACCTACATTCTGCCCGGCCAACCCCATCCCCATCCCCGCACTCATACCCATGCCTATCCCCATGCCATTCACAAGCACACCCCTTTGAATCAAATCCTCCCGCACAAAGATCCTCCTCACGCCTCGCTCCCTGCTTCCTCCTCCTCCTCCTCTCTTCACTGCTCCCTTCACTCCCTGCATCTCCCCACCCACGCCCTCAACCCCCTCCTCCTCTTCCTCCTCGTCCTCCTCGTCCTCTTCCCCCTCTCCTCCAAACCTCACTCGCATCCCCCCTCCCTCCCCTCCTCTCCCATCGCCCCACCCCTCTACTCCCTCTCTCCACACACCCTGCTCAACTCCTCTCAACCCCTCCATATACTCTCCCCCGTATCCTTCCCCATACTCTCCCCCATACCCTCCCGCATACCCACCCATAAACCCTTCCTCATACCCTCCCCCAAACTCCTCCCCATACTCTTCCCCAAGCTCCGCTTGCCTCTGCACCACTATCCGCCCATCTCCACCCCTCTGCACACATCGTTTGCCCAGCCTCGCCCACACACTCCCTTTACCACCCTCCTTCTCCGCCCCCTCGTTCCCCTCCGCATCTTCCTCTCCTCTCCCCCCTCCCCCTGCTCTTGAATCCACTCTCGCCCTTTCCTCTGCCTCCTCTCCCCCACTCCCCTCCCTCCCCTCCCTCCCCTCCCTCCCCTCCCTCCCCTCCCTCCCCTCCCTCTCCTGCCTCCGCACTGCCTTGATCCGACGAGGGGCATCAGCAGGGAGAGACACCACCACTGATCGCAACCGTTTCCGCGCCCCACGCCCCTCCTCCTCCTCCAGTCCCTCCTCTTCTCCCCCCTCCTCTTCTCTCTCCTCTCCTCTATCCTTTTCCCGCTTCTCTTCTCTCTCCACTCCTCTCTCCTCTCCTCTCCCCCATTCCCTTCTCTCCTCTGCCCTTGCCACTCGCTCCTCCTCACTAGCTGCTCTAGCAGCGCCCTTCACAGCACCAGGAGAGGCACCATCGGAGGCAGCAGGGGGAGCAACGAGGTGAGGAGCACTTTGAATGGCAGAGCGGCTGGGGGCAGACACGACGATTCGCCTTACTTCCCTCGTCGCCCTCACTTCCACTCCCCTTCCCGCCTCCTCCTGCTGCCCACCATTACCACTTGCAGCGGCAACAGCGGCAGCAGGAGGTGCAGCAACAGCAGCAGCATGGTAGTGAGCAGGAGTCCTCACCTCCCTCGCAGGCTTCACAGCATCTCTAACCGCAAACTGCCACAGCCTGCCGCCCATTCCCCTGGCTCCCCCGCCCACTTGCCGCCCTCTCTTCCCAGCAACCTGCCCTCTTGCCGCCCCTCTATGTGCCCCATCCAAGCCCCTCCCATCCCTTCTCTCCACACTTTCCCCTCCCTCTTGCTCCTCCCCCCCCTACTTCCACCCCCTCCTCGCCCTGCCACCTCTCCTCCTCCTCGCCCTCCAGCCGCCTCTCACTCGCGGCCACCAGAGCAAACGCCCCACGCCCTTTCCTCCTCACAGCCTCCTCGCTACCCTCCAGTCCTGCTCCCGCTGCTCCCTCCGCCCCCTCCGCCCCCACTTCTCCCTCTGTCCGTCTCCGCACCACCGCTCTCTCTCCCCCATCCGCCCTCCCCCCGTCCACAGTGGCCCGCCTCCGCGCCCCTTCGCCCAGGCTGCTGCCAAACAGCCGCCTCATCCGCGCCCGCTCCTCCTCCCCATGCCTCTCCGCGCGCACCCTCTCCCGCCCCCCCTCCCCCCCCTGCTTCTCCCCTTCATGCCTCCCCTGCCACTCCTCACCGCCCCCTTCCCCTGACACCCGCCTCTTAACCGCCCTTCCCAGTTCTCCACCCCTTGCCTCCTCCCTATCCAATCCCCCATCCCTCATCTCCTCCATCCTCCTAGCGCCCTCCTCTCCCCTCTCCTCCCTCCGCTGCTCCTTCTCCTCCCGCTTTCCTGGGGGAGACCAAGATCTAGACCCACCCCGACGCGCCCACACATCCCTCTCCGCCCCCCTCGCCGTTCTCCTCTCATCTCCCCCCTCCTCCTCGCCTTCCGCCCCTCGTACCTCGTCCATATAAAGCCGCCCTCTCTTCTCATATCCCCTCCCTCTCTCCTCATAACCCCTCCCTCTCTCCTCGTCTCCCCTCCCCCTCTCCTCATACCCTCTACCTCTCTCCTCATACCCTCTCCCTCTTTCCTCATACCCCCTCCCTCTTACTTCCTCACGCCCACTAACAACCCCATCCCTTCCTCTCTTGCCCTTCCATGAGTCTGTTCTTCCATCCAGGCTCCTCCTCTCTCCGTCCCTTTCCTTCTCCCGCTCCTTGCTCCAGCCTCCCTCCCTCTCTCCACTCACTCCTCTTTCTCCCCCTCTCTCCCTGCCTCGCTCACCACTCCTCTCCCTGCTCCGCCCTCTCACTTCTCCCCCCCCTCTCTTCCCTCCCTCTCTCCTCTCTCCCCCTCTCTTCCCTCCCTCTCTCCTCTCTCCCCCTCTCTTCTCTCGCCCTCCCATCTCGTCCCCTCTCCTCCTCCCTCCCCTTCTCCTCCCACACCCTGCCGCCATCCTCCCTCACTTCAACAACCTCCCTCCTTCGTCCCTCGTCTCGCGTCCCCTCGGCCCGCTTCTCCTCCTCCTTTGCAAACGCTTCTCTCCCATCCTTCCCTGCACCTGCGGTATCTGGGGCAGCGGGCGCGTTGTATTTCCCAATGTTGGCAGACAGGTGAAGCCACAGCCTGTTAATGAGGGAAGGAGGGAGGAAGGGGGGGTTTGGCCGAGGGTGGGGGGCTTTTGAGGAGCGAGGTGAAGCAACAGGCTGCACCAAAACGAACACAGGGTTGTACACTCACAGAAAATGTGAGGAAAACGGAGAGGAATACGTTATAAAACAACAGGCCAAAGAACAACAACGCTATAACAGGGATTTACTGTACCGCGCAGCGCAATGACATTATTTCTTCGAAGAATATCACCCACCAGTCGACAAAGGCGGCGGTTTGGTCGCCCAGAAACGCCTCGAGATCCTCGGCGGCGTGGCTCTTGGGCTTGCCGTGCGCCACCAGCACCACCACGTACTCCTGCGAGGGAAGTAGGAAACACGTCCAGATTCAGTGAACTTGAATTAATAAGAATTGAGATCCTCGGCGGCGTGGCTCTTGGGCTTGCCGTCCGCCACCAGCACCACCACGTACTCGTGCGAGGGAGGTGGGAAAAATGTCCAGATTCAGTGAACTGGACAACGGACTGGGACCTACCGTACTTCCGCGTGAATTCACACAAGGTGCAGGCGCCAGAGATGATGCCGGGGAAGGCTAGGGCAAAAAGGGCGGAGCTAAGTCAGAGTTCTGGCAGGGTTTAGTCAAGCTTAGGATTGAAAAACGAAGAAAATATTTACTATTCCTTAGTCTCCGGAATACAAACAAACATCCGGGGACGGCTCTTCTGAGGATGCAGACAAAGATGTTTGGTTTCCACTCGCTGCTGCTCAGAAATGCTAGGTTCAACAATGAGCGGCTAAGACGAGGCGACTGTGGACACGAGGCTGGGCGAGGCGAGGGGATACGTCTCAAAGTCGTCTTGTTCGGTAGTGTGTGGTTCAATAAGGAGCAGCTAAGCCCAGCAGTTGTTCATAAAACCGTACGGGTCACTGAATACCAGAGGCGATTAACATTAAGGAACCACTCATGCCAATGTCCGTGAATATCCTGTCTAAACTCCCTTTGGAGAGTAAGAAACGGAATTATAGACGGATCCGATTTGCGGGGGATCATTCGGCGGCGTGGGGATCGCGAAAGGCGAACATTCGCGAACGACGACCGTAGATCGAGGGGCACGTGGATGCTTACGATTGCTCCGCGTCGGCAATACGGCGTCAATCTCACAAGAAAGTAAGTTCTCGTACGACGTATCGACGCATGGCTAAATTAATGGACCAACTACTGCTATTCTATACCTACGGCTGCCATGAATTCGTATAAAGTGCTACGGAATCCGACGTTTCCCCACAAAACCAACACGAAACCGCCTCTTAACGCCACGGAACCGTAATTAACGCCACATAACCGTAACGAACGCTCTCGGAAACGCGTACCGCGAGGACGTCGTCGGTGAAGCTCTCGGAGAAATCAGCGAGCTTGTCGCGCACGACGGCGCGCAGCGCGGACGCGCCCGACCCGTGCAAGTCGAGCGAAAACGGCTCGCCTGGATCCCCCATGCCGCGCTACTACGCCTGGAATCTGGATCTCTCGCCTTCTGGCGTCAGCCAGGGTTCGCTCAGCAGTCCTTCCGCAGACCTAGCGGTTTGCGCGTAAATCTCAGCTATGAACTGCGATGCCGATTCTCCATGATCCTCCTCACTGGCTGGACAAGCCAGTGTTTTCTGATCTGAGACAAGAGCAGATACAGTAGAGAACTGACTGCTGGCTGTTTCTAGTTTATTCCTCTGAATAAAGTCTGAACCAGGCTGTGTGTGACAGAATCGAGGGGGGGAAAGGCCGTTTCTGATTGCCTAGCAGCTTGTGCGGGGATATGGTTGTGTTTCGCGAAATATTGTAAACAAGTCAGAAGTGTATGCAGATTATAATTGAGAAACTTACCATGTATGAAAATATCTATACACGTTTAGCATATTCCTTAATCACATGAAAGTGTGCTTTTCAGAACTTTGTGTTAGAATCACTAGTAGCTAGGTGAGGAATGATGATTAGGTGAGGGAGAGGGGGTACAAGAGTGTCGAGAGAGTTGGGTTGTACCCTCTAAGGTGTGACCCTACACAACCTAGAGTAAGAACATAACAATATGTTTTGACACACCCCCATAGGTGAAGTAGGGGATAGCCAAACCTAACAGTGGTCACAAGACCAGTCAAGCAACAGAATAAGCAAGGCAAAGCCCAGGGTGGATCTCAAGGACACCACACAATCTGAGCACAAGCAGGCGGCCACAAGGCCAGTTCACATGCAGATTTATAATAGCAAGGCAGTAAACATGCATGTATAAAGATATATATAGCAGTGTATAACAAGAGCAAGTCAAGCAACCAGCAGGTGAGGCAGAGTGGGAACAAGCCCAAGAGCAGTGCAGAAACGCTGATGATCACCAGCCCCAAGGGCCTTGGTGAAGACATCAGCAGTGTTGGCCCGAGAGGCCACGAAAGCAAGGCGCAGCTGACCACGCTGCTGCAGCTCACGCGCAAGGAAGTAGCGCAGAGCAATGTGCTTCGTTCTGTGCTCCAGTCTCTGCTCGCGACACAAGGCAAGCATTGCCTTGTTGTCGACGTACAGAACTGGAGGAGAACGAGGCCGCTCCCCCAAGTCGGTCAGCAGGTAGGTCAGCCAGCGGAGCTCCTGTGCAAGCCATGGCCCCAGCGTAGATCTCGGCCTCACAACTGGAACCAAGCACAGAAGAAGAACGAGTGGACCTCCACGAGACAGAACCAGCGCCAAGACTGAAGGTGTAGCCCTGTGACGAACGCTGAGTCGCCTGGTCGTCGGCCCAAGAGGCGTCAGAGTGTCCTGTGAGGACCACCGAACCCCGTCCTCCAAGCACGAGCCCCATGCCCGATGTGCTGCACAAGTAACGCAGTACCCTCTTCGCAGCATCAAAGTGCACCTTTCGGTGCCTGCCATATGCCACGTAGCGAGCCAGAAGGCTGAGAGGGTACGCGAGGTCAGGTCGTGTGCACGTCATCAGGTACATGAGGCAGCCCACAAGCTCTGGGTACGGACCACTCGGCTCTACGGACTCGTCCGAACGGTGGAGCTGAGAGCGAGTGGCCGGTAGCCAGAGGAGTGGGCTGTGGCGAGGAGTACGTGAAGCGGAAGCGCTGTAGGACCTGGTGCACCATGTGTGACTGAGTCATGGTGATGGTGCGCCGTGGTCTGTCCCGGGTGATCTGCAAGCCAAGATAGCTCCGCAGCTCACCCAGGTCAGTGCAGGTGTGTCTCTCCTGCAGCTCCGCCTTCACTAGGGCCAGTGCCTCAGTGTCAGCAGTAGCAAAAACCAAGTCGTCGACGTACACGAGGATGTAGAACGGCGGCAGAGTAGTGTCGGTGCGTAGAAAACAGCGACGGGTCAGCAGTCGAAGGAGCAAACCCAAGAGCCGCAAGTGTCCTCAGTGTGTCGTGCCACTCGCGGGGCGCCCTGACGCAAGCCGTACACTGGTCGCCGTAGGCTCCACTGGGTACCCTCAGGAAACGACCCAGTGAAGCCCTGTGGACGGCGCAACCAGATGGCCTCGTGAAGGCTACCCTGCAAGAAAGCTGTCGAGAAGTCGAGGGAGTGCAGCTCGTAGTCACGCTGAGCTGCAACGTGTAGCAACACCCGAAGAGTGGTCATCTTCGGGGTGGGAGAGAAGGTCTGAAAGAAGTCGACCCCCTCACGCTGACTGAAGCCTCGAGCAACGTAACGTGCCTTGAAGGCAGGCGGAGAACCCGGCGGCCGCTTCACCCTGAAAATCCACATGCCACTGACGATGTTCGCCCCAGGTGGGGGAACCTCGTCGACGTAGGTGCCTGTGGACTTCCAGGAAGCCATCTCTGCGTCCATGGCTGTCTGCCACTGAGAGGAGTACTCACCCGAAATCGCCTCCCTGTAGGAGCGCGGGGTGGGGATGTCAAGTGCATCCGGGTCTCCCTCAGGGGCAAGCAGCATGGTCGCGTGATGAGGTGAAGCGGCAGCAAGGCACTCCAGCTCCTCCTGTCTGTCCTCAAGAACGTCACAGCCAAGGGCAGTGCAGCCAAGAGCAGTCTCACCCCCGACGGACGGAGGACAGGCAAGGACAGGGTCAGAGACAAGACCCGCAAGGTAGTCGAGGTGGTACACAGCAGCAAAGTCAACGAGCTCAGCTACTAGGGCAGACGCAGCAGGAGACGAGAACGTAGGGTCCGTCACAACCGTAGCAAGAAGGCGAGTAACAGTCGGACTGGACGCACGAGCAAGGTCAGACGGAGGGTCAGCAACGTCAGGCAAAGAGGACGCTGGAGGTAACGGTAGGACAACACGCTGAGGAACAGAGGAAGGACGGAGTGTCATATCGTGAGTGCCGGGGACAGCCGGAGCACGCTGACGACGAACACGAGGAACACGAGCACGGACAGCAGCTCTAGGCTCAGGCTCAAGGTCAAAGCTAGGACTCAGGCTCTCGACGCTCAGGGGTGGAAGCACGAG